ATATAACAAGGTGTAGAGCTGGATGAACACAGCAGGCCAAGCAGCTTGGTCTGCTTGGCCTGCTGTGTTCATCCAGCTCTACACCTTGTTATATCAAGTAAGATATTATACTTAAATTCCTTCACGGCCTTTCTAACCTCATCAAGCATTCATACTGCCATGAACCTCCTTCTTCTGAATGCAATCTTTTATCTTATGACTGCCCCAATAGAAGAGTTATTCTTCGACTCCAACAAAAATGCCTTAACTCATCAGACCAAAGTTTTCAGTCATCCTTCCTAATAATCTCTCTTACCTGGCTTCATTTCATGTTTATTGCACTTGTGATAATTTACATATACAGGTAAATGGAAATCCAATCAAACTATTGCAAATTTAATTCAAGAATCATAGAAGTCTACATGCCATTCAGGAGATCTTGTAGCATAGCGGTAGCTTCCTTGCCTTTGAGCCAAAGGCTCTGGTTTCAAGTACACTCAGTCTTAATGGCTACTGATAATAGATCAGTAACGTGGCCAAACAGTTTAACTGTCAGCTTTTAAATCCTTCCAAAATACAAATAACAGGCAGTGAAAGTAGGAGTTTCTTGGTCCCCATAAATGGTGGTGGTTAGAAACAGGAAACATCTAGCTGCCAAATCCAAAATGATGGTTGATACTAAGATATTCAACCAGAATTGTGGTGTTCTCATGGAAAAGGAAAATTGCTTAAAGAGAAAAATAACGGAGAGATTCTGCATAATAGTGGCTAACAAGTAGCCACCCACCCAGCCCTACTTTCTAGCTTATATCCTAGATTACAACCAAGAACTTTTTAATGTTGAGGATTTCTTCCTCTACTACCCTCTCAGGTTCCAGATTCCAAAGAAGAATTTCTCCTTGAATGCTCTGTAAATCCACCCATTAACTCAAATCTATACACTGTTTCTGGACACCTCAACTAAATGGAAGAGGACCTTCCTAGGCGCTGTTTAAACCCCTCAATTTGACATGCTTTAATTAGATCTCTCCAAAATTCTGCAATCTGAGTAACAACTTTGATATCCTCCTCTGTATCCTCTCCATCACAACAACAACTTTCCAACAGTTTGGAGCTGGAGGAACACAGCAGGCCAGGCAGCATCAGAGGAGCAGAAAAGCTGACGTTTCGGATCAGGACCCTTCTTCAGAAATGGGGGAGGGGAAGGGGGCTCGGGTGGGGAAGGTAGGTGGGATGGTGATAGGTGAGTGCAGGTAGGCAGTGGTGGGGATTGGTCAGTGAGGTGGGAGGAGCAGATAGGTGAGAGACGGGGATAAGAGGGAGGGTTGGTCATGGGATGAGGGCGGGGGTGGGGAGATTTTGAAGCCAGTAAAGTCCATATTCAGACCATTGGGTTGTAGGCTCCCAAGGCGGAATATGAGGTGCTGCTCCTCCAGTTTCCGGGTGGCATCGTTGTGACACTAGAGCCTGCCCAGGATGGGCAGGTTGTCCAGGGAGTGGGAGGAGGAGTTGAAGTGGTTCGCGACTGGAAGGTGTTGTCTGTCGCGAACCGAGCGTGACAAACGACAATACGTTCTAGTCGCGAACCACTTCAACTCCTCCTCCCACTCCCTGGATGACATGTCCATCCTGGCCTTCCTACAGCGTCACAACGACGCCACCTGGAAACTGGAGGAGCAGCACCTCATATTCCGCCTTGGGAGCCTACCACCCAATGGTCTGAATATGGACTTTACTGGCTTCAAAATCTCCCCACCCCCGGCCTCATCCCAAGACCAACTCTCCCTCTTATCCCTGCCTCCTTGACCTGAGGCAACCTGTCCATCTTGTCTCCCACCTATCTGCTCCTCCCACCTCACTGACCAATCCCCACCACTGCCTACCTGCACTCACCTATCACCATCCCACCTACCTTCCCCAGCCCAACCCCTCCACCTCTATTTATTTCAGAGCCCCCTTCCCCTCCCCCATTTCTGAAGGGTCCCAACCCGAAACGTCAGCTTTCCTGCTCCTCTGATGCTGCCTGGCCTGCTGTGTCCCTCCAGCTCCATACTATTATCTCAGACTCCAGCATCGGAAGTTCTTACCATCTTTCCAACATTGTAGTCCAGAACTACATCCAACTGTAGTCTAACTAGAGTTATACAGTTGAAGCATAATCTCCCAGTTTATGCTTGATGCCCTAGTTTATAAAGGCAAGTACCCCATATGCGTCCTTGACCACCTTATCTGTCAGGGACCTGTGCAGACTCCAATACTTTATTTTCTTCTACACTTTCAAGTATCCTTTCACTTAGTGTGTAAACGGGGAGTATGCAGGAACAGAGTACTGAAAAAAACAAATGCTGGAGATCACAGCAGGTCAGGCAGCATCCGTGGAGACAGCAAACTAATGGTTCAAGTCTAGATAACTCTTTACAGAGTACTGTGTTGGATCATTAGCCATCACTGTTCTAAGGGTCACCGGACCCGAAATGTTAACTGATTTTTTTTCTTCACAGATGCTGCCAGACCTGCTGAGCTTTTCCAGCAACTTCTGTTTTTGTTCCTGATTTATAGCATCCACAGTTCTTTCGGTTTTTATTTTGTATTGGAACAGCCACAATGGGCAGAAGGGTCTTTTCCTGTTCTGTGGATCTCTATGGTTACTATACAGAGCAAGCTCAAGGAGCTCAATGACCTACTCTTGCTCCTATTTTCTTTTCTGGGTACTTCCTTGTGGTGTTAGCTTTTCCTAAAAGAATTAACTCACTTCTGCCTACACGGTGGCTCAGTGGTTAGCACTACTGCCTCACAACGCCAGGTATCCGGGTTCGATTCCACTCTCAGACGACTGTCTGTGTGGAGTTTGCACATTCTCGTGTCTGCGTGGATTTCTTCTGGGTTTCCTCCCACAGTCCAATGATGTGCAGGCTAGGTGGACTGGCCAGGCTAAATTGCCCATACTGTTCAGGGACGTGTAGATTGAATGGGATGCTCTGAGGGTTGGTGTGGACTTGTTGGGCCAAAGGGCCTGTTTCCACAATGTAGGGATTCTACAATGGTAGTGATTTACACATTAGCCAAACTTTGTTGTTGTTATTATTATTGCAGATCACAACTTGCTGCCTTTCATTAATACTATTAGAAATAGCTTAAGTTAAGACACACCAAGATACTGTAGGTTTATAAAAGAACAATGACCGCATGTCCACCTAACCTGAATGTGCTACATTAACTGGCTCCAAGTACAAACCACAGGAAACAGACTAGGAACTGTGTTTCCTTAACGCCATGTGTCAATTTCATTGAAAATGGAAATTTGCCATACGAATTTACAACAAAGAGAGTCTGGGATGGCAACTGAAACTTGTCAGGTGATTTCAGCTCAGCCTCTTGAATAGCTCCACGTGTTGAATAAACATACCGCTCATAACGTAAAAAAAGGTGGAATTTCAAATAGAAAAATTAGTTACCAAAACGGGTGCCAAAGCAAGGCATCTTGAAGGAAAGGAAATTCACGAACGTAATAGGGAAAAAGAAAACAAGATACTCCGGAAGAAATTTTTATCGTAACAGAGAGCGAAATACATTTTTCACGTGCGGCTCCAAAAAGGGGTTAATCTTGCAGTGTTTTAGCGGCATGGTTTAAAAATAATTCGCAAAATCTCGGCCTAAATATTAATTACTGGGCGTTATCATAGCTAAGGGAAGGAGACTGGGCATTAAGGGTTGTGAAGGTTGACAAGTTATGCAGTTTTCCTTCCAGTTTTTGAAAAGAAAATGCAGGTCCTGGTCCGCCATCTTAACCTCACTCAGCAGCACAAGACATAAAACGGAACCCAGCGGAGGGGGGTAGTGTTGTAGACAAAAAACACTTTTTCGAAAGGTAAAACACAACTAACTGCTATTACAACCCGATACTTCAGTTTCCATCTCCCCTTTCAGCGACCCTCCACCATCCCCCCGCGCCGACAACTTCAACTGAATCCGGCCTACCTGCTCCGCATTTCCTTCGCCAGACATTGTATGATTTTTAAATAAAAATATTGATTTAAAAACCACCACACAAATTAATTAACGCGGGTAAATGTCGTTCAAGTGCGTGCAGAGCTGGCCCTGACAAACTAAAAATCCCACTTTTTCTCTCTTTTCCCTCCCTTTAAACTCAACAATGCTCCAAACCCTTCCTATCACCGCCGCCACCACCTCCTCCTCCGCCAGCGCTGCCTCAGCGCTTCACAAAATGGCGGCGGTCGGCCAGCGAAAGCTCCACCGAACCAGCCGTTTGGCGCGGAAGCGCATGCGCATTATCCGTTCACTCCATTCGTTCTCCTGCTCTGTCGTTAACTGCACGCGCAACCTCGACTTCTCCAGAGCTAATCATCTTCAAGCGATAGGGAAAATGAATTGTTGGAAATTATATCCGTATACTATTGAATAGATTATATTTTTGATTAGAGGTGATCAAAGGTTAAGTTAATCAGAAACTGCCTTCCGATCATATGGGGCACAGTGATAAAGGTAAGGAACGGGAAATTTCCAGGGGATTTGAGGCAATTTTTTTTTCACCCAGAGGTTGGTGGGTATCCGGAACTCACCGCCTGAAAGGGTAGTAGAAGCGAGAACCCACAGGATATTTGAGAAGTGTTTGGAAAATACTTGAAACATTATAGTATACACGGCTATGGGCCAAGTGTTGGAAAATGGGATTTATTTTTTCTGAAGAAGGGTCCCGACCCGAAGCGTCAACTTTCCTGCTCCTGGCCTGCTGTGTTCCTTCAGCTCCACACTGTGTTATCTTAGAATAGATGGGAGTTAGATAACTGGTGCAAACTGACTGAAGGGCTTCATTTAATGCTGTAAAAACACTGAAACCATAAAATAAAATTTAAAGACAGAGAAAGTGCTGGAGAAACTCACGTCTGGTAACATCTAAATAAAAGCCGAAAGAACTGTGAATGCTGTAAATCAGAAACAAAAACGAACTGCTAGAAAAGCTCAGCAGGTCTGGCGGCATCTGTGGAGAGAAATCAGAGTTAACGTTTCGGGTTGAGTGACCCTTACTCAGAACTGAGGTGATTCCGATTTCTCTCTACAGATGCTTCCAGACCTGGTGAGCTTTTCCAGCAATTTCTATGTTTGTTTCTGGTAGCATCTGGTTGGTAGAGGGGCAGGGTGCACAGTGGCTCAGTGTTTAGCATAGCTGCCTTACTGCGCCGGGGACACAGGTATGATTCCACCCTTGGGCAACTGCACATTCTCCCTATGTCTATGGGGGTTTCCTCCGGATGCTCCGGTTCCCTCCCACAGTCCGAAGATATCCAAGTTAGGTGAAACTGCCATGCTAAATTGCCCATCATTTCCAGGATGTACAGGCTAGATGGATTAGCCAAGGGAAATGCAGGGTTACAGGGATAGGATGGGGGGTCTGAGTGGGATGCTCTTTGTAGGGTTGATGTGGACTTGATGGGCAGAATGGCTTGCTTCCACACTTTAGGGATTCTATGAAGGAGCAAATTACTGCAGATGCTGGAATCTGTACTGAAAACAAAAAGTGTTGGAGATCACAGCAGGTCAGGCAGCTTCCATGGAGAGGAAGCAAGCTAACATTTTGAGTCTAAATGACTCTTCATCAGAGCTGATGTGAAGTGTGATGGTGGTAGCATTTATGCAGTAGTTGGGGACAGGGATAGTGCTGGGGGGAAAGGATGTTGATAGCTCAGATTAAGTGATTGGAATGTGAGAAAAGGAGAACAATAGTGTGTCTAACTGCTAGATTGAAAAGAACAGGCAGTTCCACTAGGGTGGGAGGGAGGGAAGAGAGGACATGGTGATAGAGAATGTAAAAGTAAAGCTAAAAGAAAGGCAAGGAATGGGAGTGGGTGCACAATTTCAAAGTGTTGAACTCAATATTAAGTCCAAAAGATTGTAAGGTACCTAGTCTGACAACAAGATATTGTTCCTCCAGTTTGCTGTGTGATTCACTGAAGCATTCAAGATCTGTAGCTGGAGAACAGTAAACGTTTTGAGTCAGATATCACTCTTCACTTTATGTTTTCATTTCAAGCATCTGCATTCTTAACCTTTTAAAAGTTATAGAGCCATACAGCACGGAAACAGACCCATCAGTCCAAATTGTCCAGGCTATAGCAGGTGAGGACCTAGAAACTATCATTATCACTAAGGAGGCAGGGTAAGCTAATGGGGCTAAAGGTAGACAAGTCTTCTGGCCCTGATGAAATGCATCCCAGGGTACTAAAAGAGGTGATGGGGGAAATAGCAAATGCACTAGTAATTATGTACCAAAATTCACTGGACTCTGGGGTGGTTCCCACAGATTGGAAAACAACCAATGTGACGCCACTGTTTAAAAAAGAAAGTAGACAAAAAGCGGGTAACTATAGGTTAGCTTAACTTCAGTAGTGGGGAAAATGCTTGAACCTATCATTAAGGAAGAAATAGGAAGACATCTGGATACAAATTTTCCCATTGGGAACACCCAGCATGGGTTCATGAAGGGTAGGTCATGTTTAACTAATTTGGTGGAATTCTTTGAGGACATTACTTGAATGGTGGACAATGGGAAACCTGTGGATGTAGTGTATCTGGATTTCCAGAAGGCATTTGACAAGGTGCCACACCAAAGGCTGCTACATAAGATAAAGTTGCACGGTATTACAGGTAATGTATTGGCATAGATAGAGGATTGGTTGACTATAGAAAGCAAAGAATAGGGGTAAATAGGTGTTTTTCTGGTTGGCAGTCAGTGGCTAGTGGTGTGCCTCAGGGATCAGTGTTGGGATCTCAATTGTTTACAATTTACATAGATGATTTGGAGTTGGTGACTAAGTATGGTGTGTCAAAATTTGCAAATGACACTAAGATGAGTGGTAGAGCAAAGTGTGCAGAAGACACAAAGTCTGCAGAGGGATATAGATAGTCTAAGTGAGTGGGCAAAGGTCTGGCAGATGGAGTACAATGTTGATAAGCGTGAGGTCATCCATTTTGGTAGAAATAACAGCAAAATGGACTATGTTTTAAATGGCAAAAAATTGCAGCACGCTGCTGTGCAGAGGTACTTGGGTGTCCTTGTGCATGAATCGCTAAAAGTAGGATTGCAAGTGCAGCAGGTAATTAAAAAGGCAAATGAAATTTTGTCTGTCATTGCTAGAGGGATGGAATTTAAAAACAGGGAGTCTATGCTGCAGCTGTATAGGGTCCTGGTGAGGCCACATCTGGAGTACTGTGAGCAGTTTTGGTCTCCTTACTTGAGAAGGGATATACTAGCACTGTAGGGGGTGCAGAGGAGATTCACTCGGTTGCTTCCAGAGTTGAGAGGGTTGGATTATGAGGAGAGACTGAGTAGGCTGGGTTTATACTCATTGGAATTCAGAAGAATGAGGGGAGATCTTATAGAAACATATAAGATTATGAAGGGAATAGATAAGGTGGAGGCAGGGAGGTTGTTTCTACTAGCAGGTGAAACTAGGACTGGGGGCATAGCCTCAAAATAAAGGGAAGCAGATGTAGGACTGAGGTCAGGAGGAACTTCTTCACCCAAAGGGTTGTGAATCTGTGGAATTCCCTGCCCAGTGAAGCGGTTGAAGCTACCTTGCTGAATGTTTTTAAGGCAAGGCTAGATAAATTTTTGAACAGTAAAGGAATTAAGGGTTATGGTGTGCGGGCGGGTAAGTGGAGCTGAGTCTCAAAAAGATCAGCCATGATCTTATTGAATGGCGGGGCAGGCTCGAGGGGCCAGATGGCCTACTCCTGCTGTTATGTTCTTATGTTGACCAAGTCTCCCAAATTAAATTAGTCCTGTTTGCCTGCATGTATCATTTTAAACCTTTTCTATTCATGTACCTATTCAAATGTCTCTTAAATGTTGTAACTGTACCTGTATGTACCACATCCTCCTGCTGTCATTATTTCACTTAGATGTCAAGAATTGTTATTGGGATGAGGTTCTAGAGGACTGGTGGCACTAGAGGAAACATACAGCAGTTCTAAATTCAGAGTATTGGCAAATTGTGATGAAAACCTGTAGTGATACCCATTTGTTTTATGCTAAACAGGCCAATATTCTCTGTGAAATTTAGCATTTAGAGCACGCTAAATTACAAGAGTTGTTGTTAGCAATATTCAGTACTGCCCGGAGATAGGGCAAGGCATAATGCAACCTTTTCAATAGCTCTTTCATGTCAGTTTTGGGGACAGTGAACAGGCGTTCAAATAAGATAGACAGGGCTGATGATCATTAAGTAAAGGAAGGAGAGAGATGTAGAATCCATTTTAATTAGTTTCCATTCTATAAGTGCAGTTATCATCTGCACTGCTAGAAAGGCAGCTGAGATACATCGATTCTGTGTTGAAGGGCTCAGTGAGGAGTCAAGAACAGTTGGATGGCTTCTTGCTGTTAGAACAAACTCAGGAAAAAGTTCTAGAAATTAGTAGGCAGCTAAGAATTGGTATCAGAAACCGTCGAGGAGCTGAAGAAATGGGAATACTTACGGAAGTGTATTGCAGGAAAACTGTGAGTGACTAAGAAGCAGCCTGCAAACATTAATACTTAAGTGCATTTGAGACAGTGAGGGTTGAAAAGCTCACAAACAGAATTTACTTGACATAAGGAACATGTTTGGAGCTCGGGGGAAAACCCTGGGCAGACTGGCTCAATGAAGCTTGCTGTTGAAGAGCTGGAGTTAAGCTTGTGAATGAGCACTGGAATGCAGCTTCAGAGTCCAGGGGAGTGTGAACCTGGGATAAGAGCATGATCAAGTAGAACTGGAATAGTCGTTGAGCTAGTCCAAGATAGAGCAACAATCGAGAGGGATTTTTGCCTGATCAGCAAAATTGAATAACTATAATCTGAAGTTTAGAGTCATAGAGATGTACAGAATTAAAACAGACCTTCAGTCCAACTCATCCATGCCGACCAGATATCCTAAATTAACCAGTTCTATTTGCAAGCATTTGGCCCATATCCCTCTAATTCCTTCCTATTCATTTAGATATCTTTTAAAAGATTATCTGAAATATCTAAAAGATTTAGATATCTTTGTAATTGTACCAGCCTCCACCACCACCTCTGGCAGCTGTTTCCATACATGCACTACCCTCTTTGTGAAAAAATTGCCCCTTAGGTCCCTTTTAAATCTGTCCCCTCTCACCTTAAACCTATGCCCTCTAGTTTTGGACTTCCCTACCCTGGGGAAAAGACATTGGCTATTCACCCTATCCACGCCGCTCATGATTTTATAAACCTCTTTAAGGTCACCCCTCA